CCCCAGTGGAGGGTGTACAAGAGGCAGCTGATCGATGATTCTCTCATCGATGTTTCCAACTCTCTATCCCTCTCTCTTCCTCTCTGTGAAAAATCAATAAAATATATTTTAAAAAATAAAAAATAAAAAAATAAAAAAATAAGGGCTATAAGACAGGGACTGAGGCCTTAGCCAGTTTGGCTCAGTGAATACAGCGTCAGCCTGCAGACTGAAGGGTCCCAGGTTAGACTCCAGGCAAGGGCACATGTCTGGGTTGTGGGCTCAATCCCCAGTAGGGGGCATGCAGGAGGCAGCTGATCAATGATTCTCTCTCATTATTGATGTTTCTATCTCTCCTTCTCCCTTCTTCTCTGAAATCAATAAAAATATAGTTTATAAAAAAAAAGAAAAAGAAAAAGAAAGGGACTGAGGTCCTGGCAGGAAATCCCCCAGCCCAGAGGCCTCCGGGGTAGGCAGGCCAAAACACTCACTGTTCTCAGCCAAAGTCACTACAGCAGAGCGATGCTGTCTGGGCAGCTATTTCTATACAGATAATGCCCTTTATTGTACATAGTATTACCGTCCATGCCTCTGAGCTCTCGGGCCTGGTCAAACATGTTGATTTTCTTTTCCTGGTTCGGAGGGGACACGTTGTAGATAATAATACAACTGGGATGTTGGATAGCAGCCCACATAATTGGCAGGTGCCCCCTCCCCAAGAGGTGCAAATCAGAAAATCCACGAGGTGCTGCTGGTTTCAGACTCTCCCTCACAGAAAAGAAACCAAAGGTCTCGAGAATCAATTGGAAAGTGTTGGATTATGTTCAGCTTTCAGCAAGGCACCAAATGGATTATCCAAACCACTTTGTGCCCTGAATTGTTTTTTCAGACTTGGTTTTACAAAGATACGTTTGAAGAAATCTTTATGCTCAACAGAGCTTTTATAGCCATATCCTATATAAGTTTGTGGGGTTTTTGTTTTGTTTTGTTTTTTCTATTCCCACTTCTTCAGCATGCGAGGGTCACCTTGAGCATATTTCTGGTTTTCCTTTGGGGAGGAAGGCAGCCATGCTAGCATTTTTCTTATAAAATTGACAGAAGTGTGCGCCATCTGTGGCATCCAGCTTTTCAAGCAGATGTTATCGTTTGATCATCGCCTTTGATACAGGCCTGGCTGGGGGTACCGCATGCTGACAATCCACAGAGTTTCCTCAGCCCTGGGGACACCTCACTGAGATGTGATGGTGTGAAAATGTCCGGCCTCTAGGTCCCACTTGGGAGTCAATGGCTTTCAGAACTGGAACGCTTCCGATTTCACAAAGACCCGCTTGCTGCTTGTGACGTAGCTTCCACTCTGACATCTGCCCTGCGTGTCGTGTGGGCCATGGAGCCGGCAGAGGGGCAAGTAGACTGTACAGCATCTCTCTGCAAGCCTGTTAGTGACTTCATTTTCCTGAAGGAGAAACCAGGGTACCTAAGGTTTATCGATTTGCCTATAGTGATTCAGTGTGTCGGCAGGGAATAGGGAATCAAACCAATTTCCTGGCACCATTTCCGGTGCACACAGCTCCTTACCTTGCAATGCCTAGACTGCAAGCCAAGAATCCATCTCAGAGAATTTGACCAGAAAACAGATGATGGGTGATTCGGAAACCACAGAAGCATTGAGAAAGCCATAAAGATATATAATATATGATAGCATTTACCAGCTATAAATAGGGAGGATGCAGGGAGAAAAATAGAGACCTTGTAAATCCATTGGGTCTGGAGGAAGAGAAAGTGCTTAATATTTCATTAAAAATGGATTTTCATAAATGGCACTTGAATATCTTTGGGCAAAAGACAATATGTAAGGACCAAGGTGTGGTTGTTTATTACTCTACATTATTAATAATTGTTACTGTTATTGAACCAAAACATTAGCCAGGTGGAGTCTCCCTGTGGGTGGGGTGCCCACCACGTGTGTTCTGGCATCACTGTAAGTGATGAAAACCCACAGCACGTGTCCACAAAAGCTCTGAGTTCCAGGGGCACAGGGTATCTAAGGGGCCCTGTTACAAAATGGGCACTGCCATAGCAGTGCTGGATTGGAAAACTCTTGTGAAGGAAGCCAGAATTGGGGGGCCAGGAAGGACCTTACACATCAACTCACACAATCCCCTCAGTTAATAGAGGAGGACGCTGGGGCCCACACTTTTGAGCTACTTAGCAGTAGAATCTGTCTCCTGAATCCCAGTTCAGTGGTGGTTGAGTTTTTGGGGGGTTTTCCCCTATTATGCCACATTCAGAGTGGAAAGTGTATCAATAGTATCATAAAATAATTGGGTATTCCTTCAGCAAAGGGTCCAAATTGTAGGAGGCAAATATAAGCACAAAGTCAAGAGCAACAAAAATCCAAGAAGGGTCTGGGCTCAGATACGTGAAGGGTCATTTGAGGCCACTTGGAAAGAGCCTCATTTGGTCCCGGGGAGGGAAATGCCGAGCAAATGGAGCAGCAGAGGGACGTTCAGCGTGAGCAGCCAGGTGGCCGACCTGGGGCAGATAAGCCAAGTGCGTGCCTCCCTCTGGCTGATGTCACTGTCAGCAGAGACCTGGCGGTGCTCCCTCCAAGCCTGTGAGCACATATGTCGTGGGAAAACCAAACCTCTCTGCACATGTACACAAGCGAGTGCACACACATGCGGCCACATTCAGGCACACGCCAGCCTCCCAAAGGCAGTCCAGGAACACAGTCATTCCTAACTGAGGTAAAGGGATCATCTGCCCACACTGAGCAATGAACGGGTCAGATATAGAGAACATATGTTTCTAAACAAGACCAGCGTGTGGGTGCCGTGGATCGCAGTGCGGTTGAAGTTTGAACACACGCCACACCCCGATGATGCATTCACATGGCCGTCAAGGCCCTCCCCTCCAGCTCCATAGCATCTCCTGACAGAGGCCACACACAGTCACTGTCACTGCCTTCAGGGAGTTGGTCGGTGGTGGCCCCCACTGCCGGGCCCTGTTCCCTCCTTCCCGCCATCCCTCTCTGAGATTTAAGAGCCTCGGCCTCCCTCTCCACCTCTTTCCTCTCTCTGTACTCCTCACAGCTGCCTGGCTCTCCCCATCTTTCCCTGGGTTTCCTTGGCCCTTCTTTGTCTCTTCCCCCTTCCCTTCCTCCCTTCCCCCCCCCTCCCGCCCTTCCTCCTTTATCCTCAGTCACTAAGCATCAGGCAGCCAGAGTGAACCTGGGCTATGTGAGCGGTCCAGCAGTCCTGCCTCTGGGCTTTCTGTGACCCGCAAGGCAGTGGGGGTGGAGACCGGCCACCTTAAGACCAGGACCAGAGGGAGTTTCCCAGGATTCCGTGGGCTCAGCACCCAGAACCAGAGATTTAAACAAAATGTGTTGGGCTGGTGACACTTCATTTTTCCTCTCCTTCCCACTGTTTGTCTTAAGCAAGCCACTTCTCATCTGGTTGCAAAAGGTGTGATGTCTCTTAGCTCTTCACCTTGCCATTGGTGGGGAGCTGTGTCAATGGCTCTCACTTTGGACCTGAGCAAGCAGGAAACATGGCAGGGTCAAGGTTGCCTGATGGCAGAGTTCCTCCGCACACTTCCTGGGGAAGAAAGGACTGCTCTGTCCATTGGCTCTGAGCTTCTGGCCGCTCTTTGCTGTTACCCAGAGCATTCTTAGTTGGGATTATAAACATGGGAACAGCCACTCCACCCCATCAGATCCGTGCTTGGGGACCTTAAGACTCCAGGACTCCTAGCCACCAACATAAACATGTGTTCAAAGAGATGGGAGTCCACCTAAGAGACCGCACCCTAAAAACATGGCAAGGCCTTTGGATCCAGACAGACCTCTCTGAGCCTCCGTTTCTCCATTAATAAAGTGGGACTAGTAATACCTGACCTTGTGGGTATTATAGATGTAATGATCTTTACAGAGTGTCTGGCTCAAAGGTATTCATATTCAAATGTACCAGTGCCCCCGGCCCTGTCAATGGCCCCCTGGCACGGCCCAGGTATCACCTGCTGGAGCATCTATCCCCGACCCCAACCCAGGAGAAATCGCTCGCAGTTGCAGAGTCCGCTGTGAGCAGATTTACAGTCACTTGGTTGTTACAGCCGTGACAGGTACGATTTAAAAGCGGTGGTTGTTGACTCGGTCTTTCCCTCCACCCTTGCCCAGGAAGCCGAGAGAAACTCACATACACTTGCTCCAGCTACTTTGCTTTGATGGAGCGCACACCCACAAAAGCATACGGCCCATATGGCCGCTATTGATTCGGGCCATCTGCTAGGCCAGGACTGGCTCCCACCATGTTGGGTTAGAAGCTCTTCCGAAAAGCCTTTCCTCCCATCAGAGGCGCCGTGGTCAGATGGGAACCGGGATGGATTTCATTACAGGGCGGGGACCACAGTGAGGGGAAGCTGGGGCAGGACTCCAAGGGGACCGTCTGCAACCCTGACCCCACAACAAAGGCCAGAGAGAACCCAGACCATACTGATTGACACAGGAGCACGGGGGGAAAAGAGGGTAGATCCTCCCCCCCATGCTTCCACCCATTCGTGGCACAATGAGGCCTCTAAGTAACTAAGAAAAACAGTGTATCATCATCAAACACCCTGTAAGTAGTGCTAGATGCCTATAATGCCAGGAAAGGGGAGAGTCAAGTTCAAGCTAGCGGGTGAGGTCCGTTGGCCCTAAAAGAGGACATTTCTGCTCCGTGTTTAAAGGAAACCCTACTCTCCTTCCTCTGCTCACTCTCAGCTCAGGGGCAGCATTTTCTTTGCCTCCCAGAGTGTGTGTGTGGAGACCCCTGGTTGTTTGTTTCCAAATCAGAGCTTTGCGAGAAATTAACGTTGTTCTTCACGGCGCTGCTCAAAAAGCTCCAAACAACAAACCCGCTGATCATTTGTAAACTGGAGGGAAATCAAGTTCCACAGAACTTCCCCCCCCCCTTCAAGGGCTGCGCGGGGGCCTCGCTGCACGTGGGGGCGTGACTCACGCGGCTCCGTGTCCTCTGCCACAGGTATTCCAGGGCAACAGCGACGCCACGGAGGTGGTTCTGAACAGGCTGCACACGCCGCTGCTCACGAGGTTCGTCCGGGTCCGCCCTCAGACCTGGCACGCGGGCATTGCCCTCAGGCTGGAGCTCTTCGGCTGCCGGGTCACAGGTGAGGTGGCGCCCGGGGAGGCTGGGAGCCGATTGCGTCCTGGCTCTGCTGTCTCTCAGCCACGATGGCACCACGTGACCTTCCGGGAAGGATTGGCATGAGGTCTCAGGTCCTAGCAGGATCCTTCTCTTCATTCCGTGTGTGTTTATTAGACATCTCCTGTTTCTACTAGCTAACGCCTGGTGAAGGCTGCTGGGCCAGGCTCCGTGCCAAGCACGTGGGTGTGTCATCGTCTATCCTCTTCATAGCGCTCTGTGAGGCAGGAGTTCCTCGTCTCTCCACTTCACAGATGAGGAGGCCGAGACCTGAAGGTTTAGGTCCCCCGGTCTACTATGTAGTAGAGCCAGGATTGGAAACTAGGCGGTTTGAATTCAGAGCCCGGCTCTCAAATAACACTTTCTGGTCCTAGCTGGTTTGGCCCAGGGGATAGAGTGTTGGCCTACGGACCAAAGGTTCCTGGGCATATACCTTGGTTACCGGCTCCTCCAGGGGCCAGGCCCTGGTCAGGCCTTGTGCAGGAGGCAACCAGTTGATGTGTTTCTCTCATATCAATATTTCTCTTGTCTTTCCCTCTCTCTTCCACTTTCCTTAAAAATCAATGGAAAAATATCCTCAAGTGAGGATTAGCAAAGAACAAACATACAAAACCATTAACACTTTCTGCTGCCTCAACTGGGGGCCAAGAGCTATGTGTGCAAGGCATTATGGGTACAGAGATGAGCACAACAGACCCAGGTCTGGGGGGACAGTTAGACTAGTTGGGGATACATAGTCATAAACCAAAACCCCACAAACACAGGTAAATGAAAACCACGATGAAGAACACTGTAGAGGACTGGCCAGTCTTGGGGGTCAGAGAGGAGGAGGAGGACTTCCTTGAGGAAGTGGTGGCTGAGCTGAGGGCAACAGGCACGCAGGCCTCCCATCCAAGTACCAGTCAGGCCCGACCCTGCTTAGCTTCTGAGATCAGACCCGATGGGGTGCATTCAGGGTGGTTTGGCTGTAATCCACACAGGCCTTAAGGACTGGAGGGAAAGTCCACAGGGAGTGGTCACAGTTTGCCCAACTGCCCAGGGGCCAGAGGGATCAAGAGAGAAAGTGAGGGGGCAGGCATGGAATGGGGCTGAGAGAGACCCCAGGGGTTCAATTTGGAAGCTAGATTAGAAGGACCAGCACGGAGATGGGAAAGCATTGGAGGCTGTGCAAGGGTGTGTGTGAGAGAGGATGGGGGCTGGACCAGCCCTCGCCTTTTATGTACAGTCTGAACCCTTCACCTTGTAGACTGAGCCCAGAGCAAGTTGGTTGCTTCTTTGGCCTAAGAAGGTCTTTGGTGTACACCTGCCCCGTCCTGTGCTCCAGCCATTCCAGCTCTGGGAGCGAGCGCTCCATGGTGGGGCCCCGTTTCGACTTCTAGTCGAAATATCTCGCATTTACACAGTCTACATTGTCCACGTGCCTTCTTTGCACACCATCTCGTCTACTGTCCCTAACAGCCCTCTGAGGTGAGTGGGGGAGCAAACCAAGACTCAGAGAGACAAACAGCTTGCCCAAGGACACCCACCGAGGAGGTGGCCGAGCCAGGCACTGGACCCACATTATCTCACAACAAATCCTTGGCTCTTGCCACCTTTGCACAAAAACTTGACTTCCCTTTAAGGGGAGTGCATAAGGGGAGTGCATCCTAACCCACCTCGGGGACAGTTTCTGTCCCTTCACATTACACAGGGTGTCTCTCAAGGACTCAGTGAAAACTCATTTTCTGGAGAATTGAAGAGCCGGGACCCCCTGGAGGGTCTGTAATTCAGTGTCCAGGTACCTAACGCGCCCGCAGACAGAGGACCCTGCCTTCCCCACTCCCTCACGTGCTCCGCAAATATTTACCGAAGGCCTGCTGTGTGCCAGGCCCCACGCTGGGAGCCGGGGCCCGAGGAGGGAGCGAAGCAGATGGGGTCTCTGGCATCATGGAGCTTTCAGGCTAGTGGGCAAGATGGGTAATTAGCAAAGGCAAGTGCTGGGCCATTCCAAAGGAAGATGTGTGTCGGGAGAAAAAGAACAGGGGCTCCGAGCAAGAGTGACTGAAAGGGCCTCCTTAACGTGGCTGAAAGTTTGGGGACTGCCTTTCTGAGGGCGTGACAGGTACGTTTAGAGGGCGAGGAAAGATTAGCCTGGTGGCGACTGAGAGGAAGGGCCTTTGGGGCAGCAGGAGCTGGTGTCACCAACGAAAGATCTGAGGGTCCTTGGCGAACAGCATGAGGTGCTTCGGCATGTCAGACTCGGGGCTGTTAGCTTTGGCATAGTAACTAATGGAACCCTCGCAACAACCCTCAAGAGGTAAATAATCCTCCTTTAGACCTGGGGAAACTGAGGCACAAAACAAATCAGGCACTTGTCCAAGGTCATGCAGCTAGCTAGTGGCAGAGCAAACGTGAACCCCGAAGCCTGGCCCCCAGTCTCGGCTCTCAGCACTATTCTACCTTGAAGTGCAAAAAGCTTCAGGTGTTTGATACCAGTTGGGTTTTATTACAGCTCCCTACTAATGGGGTGTCCCCAGTTATTGTGCCGTCAGCTCTGACTTCCTGCCTCTTCCTCCCTGCCCCACAGACGCCCCCTGCTCCAACATGCTGGGCATGCTCTCAGGCCTCATCACGGACACGCAGATCTCTGCCTCCTCCACCCGCGAGTACCTCTGGAGCCCCGGCGCCGCCCGCTTGGTCAGCAGCCGCTCGGGCTGGTTCCCCCGCATCCCACAGGCCCAGCCAGGGGAGGAGTGGCTGCAGGTGGACCTGGGAGCGCCCAAGACCGTGAAGGGCGTCATTGTCCAGGGGGCGCGAGGAGGGGACAGCATCACTGCCGTGGAGGCCCGGGCCTTTGTGCGCAAGTTCAAGGTCTCCTACAGCCTGAACGGCAAGGACTGGGAGTACATCCCCGACCCCAGGACTCAGCAGCCAAAGGTAGGGGTGCCGGGAGGGCTCTAGCCTTAAATGGGGGGGAGGGGATTGTGTGCTAGTTTCCCATCCAGACAGTCACCCCCAAACCTCTACTATCCAGGGTGAGGAGTATTCATGAAGGGATGACTTTGTGCCAGGCACTGGGCTAACTGTCTTATTTTAATCCTCATTATTATTTCAACTCTTCCAGCATGCGTAGAAGGTAAGACCCTGTGTCACTCCCATTGTAGAGATGACAAGCTGAGGCTTGGATGGCATGCCCAGGGTCCCACCGTGTCCCTGCGGTGGTTCCCTGGTTCACACCCCGGGAGTCTGACTCCAGAGCCCAGAGGCCTTTCGGTCAAGTCCGACGCCTTTTGCACGCTCTCTCAGATAACGTTTCCTTCCAGCTGGCCAGACATCCAAAGGAGATGTGGTTTTTGGAGGCTAAACTATAGAACCGGGGGATTTACTTCCAAAAACAACTGTGTTTTCCTGAATGTGGCTGCCCTCCTTTGTAGTTCCCTGGTCTGGACTCTTAGATCTTCCCCGCCTGGCACTGCGGCCGGCGAGGCAGGAGAAACCCGCCCCAGGCCTGAGGCAGGCCAGGGAGGCCCAGCCCCTGCCGTCGGGGGCACGAAGGCCCACCTTCCAGGCTCGGAGGAGTCCCAGGAGGGGGAAGACATTGTTTCTCTTCTCCAGGTCAATTTCCCCGTTAACCAGGCCTTCCCAACCCCTCATTTTCCTCCAAAGAGCAGGGCCCCTAACCAGGAAGGGGCAGCCCATGTCCCCATCCAGCCCCCTTACTAAGCACATGTGTTCATGCTTGACACTGAGGCGAGGGCTAGGTGGGAGGTTTGCAATACTGATGTCAGCTCCCAGCTCGCAATTCCAGGGCCTGGAAAGGCTCAGGGCTCAGTAACCGGAACCTTTGGATGGATGGAGATGTTGGATCCTGGGTCTTCTTAACCACTGGGGGGGTGGGGAAGCCTGGGAAAGGAGAGGATCTTCCCCAGGGCCAGAGCCCGTCCTCCCCATGGCAGCCCCCCCTGGGGCTGTGGACCGGGGCGTCCTGCAGCATTCCCCCTGCGAAGCAGCCACAGCCCCTGACTGTCCCCACACCAGCCTTCCCCGAAGCCAGGGGCTCCCAGGTGAGCTGTGGGGCGGGTCCCCTCACCTGACTTCCACCTGGGTGGCCCCACTGTGCTCGGTTTTATATACTGGGTCTCCCGGCGAGTTTTCTTTTGCTAGAATTGCCCCCACTAAGCAAAGGTCTGGGGAACAGTCTGACTATCAGTGTGTGACCAGGAGGTGTCCAGAAGGTGGCTTCCCCTTCGGCCTCTCCGTGCACTTGGACCTTCAGTGAACTGGGACTTATCTAGACGTTCAAGCGCTAGAAAAAGAACTAGGTTAGAAGGTCTGGTTTCTAATAAGCTGGGAAGTTCGGAACAGGCAAGGCAGCCTGAGCTCCCTCTTCTTCTCTCATTTGGAGCCGAATTCTTTTCCGAGGGCTCCGTTTCAGTCTCAGGACAGAAGGCAGGACCTGTCAACGGACACTCAGACCTGATCCCGCTTTCCATGGTCTGGGTCTCTCACCATCTTCCGAATGAACAGGAGCTTTGGTCTAAGGATGGAGCTCCCAGGGACCGTCCTGTCCAGCGACCACGAAGCAACTAGGACGCTGCCTCCTGTTGGATGCGAAGGCTGGGAAGGAGAAGCGGGGAGGAAAGGGGAGACGGGGTGATGGAGGAGGGGTCCCCCGTAAGAAGGGCTGAGCAGCCTGTCTCCCCTGCAGCTGTTTGAAGGGAACATGCACTACGACACCCCTGACATCCGAAGGTTCGACCCCGTCCCTGCGCAGTACGTGCGGGTGTACCCCGAGAGGTGGTCGCCGGCGGGAATTGGGATGCGGCTGGAGGTGCTTGGCTGTGACTGGACAGGTAAGACCCTGGCTCCTCAGGATGCCCTGGACGGGGCAGGAAAGAGGAGGGAGGGTCAGGCCGTGACGTGGATGGGGCAGAGGGGCCACCCATCCCCAGTTGAATCCCTCTCCACGGAAATGCTACATCCCTGCCCACCCTGGGCCCTGCCGTGCTCTCCCGCCTCAGACCCCGGGCCCTGAGCCTCTGGTCTTGGGGAGTGTCTCAGGGGAGGTACTTTGTCATTTTTAAAGGATCGTTTCAGCTCTCCAGCCCAAGTCTCTCAAAAACAAATCACAACCACACACCACCCACCCAAATTCAATTAGATCCCGACTCCTGGGGCCAGGGAGCTTGGCTGTTGATTTAGGGAAGGGAGAAAAAACAACCCCTCACGATAATCAAGTGATCGGTTTGTGCATGAGTCTGGCCTCCAGATGTCAGCGGCTCGGAGACTTCGGTTTCATTTCGAAGCCACATCTGTAAAAGGCATTCGTCTGCTCAGGAGGGACCTGGTTGCTGGAAGGTCCTCCCAGTGTGTGGCAGGCGATGGCTCATTCCTGCCCTCGCCAGGGAGCCGGCCCAGGGAGCGCCTCTTAATTCTCCTCGACAAGGAGGGGGCCCCTGAGCATGCCCACCCTTCGCTCAGACCCCACCTGTCTTCTGGGCACCAGCCCTCCTGTCCCCACAAAGCTGGCACTGTGTCCCCGGAGGGCGCTCACTGCTGCCATAGAGCTGGGGGGGGGGGGGGCGCCGAGCCCCAGGCCAGCAGGAGCGGAGCGGCAGGTGGCTGAGCCTCCGGCCCCCTCCTCCAGGGCCCAGGTATCTGTCTCTCCTGTCTGTGCTGTGCCCCTCACCAGCAGGGGACCGCGAGGGATTGATAAGGGCATGTTGGCAGAGTGCTTTCGGCTCGTGGGGAGAAAAGTGCCTCCAGTGCCCACTGCAGTGAGGCCGTGGAGGCGGGCAGGTGGGAATCGGGCCCAGACAGGGCCCCCCCTCGCCCTCTCGGAGTGCAGGCAGCCCTCGTGAGCACACCCAGCGGGAAACACTTACTCAGGCCAGGTCTCCACCGAACGTGGGGCACCTGCCCATTGGAGGTGCTGAAAATGGGGCATCTAGGCCAGTGGCTTCCAAATGTTTTCACCACCATCCACAACTTAAAATAAATGTGTAAAACTACCCGCCAGACACACAAACACACACACACACACACACAGGCACACACGTGTATGCCTGTGGGGAACTGTGTGCCGCTGAGTGCCTGGACACTGGCCACAGATCGCCATGTGTTACTCAGACACTTTACTTAGCCCTCAACATGTCAGGTATCTTAGCTGAAACATGGGGGTGATCACGGTATAGCTACCCACCCCCCAAGGGTTATTATGAGGATTCTGCAAAATAATGGCTATCAAGCACTTAGACTGCTGCCAGGCACCTAATAAACCTGTTGGGAAAAGTAAGACTGAAACAGACGGTTCCCAAAGCAGCGCTCATCCTCACCACGTGCGCGGACGCTGGAACACCGTCATTGCTACGTTTAAAACGCTGATCACGACCCATTCCATTGATCCCACAACCTACTAATGTGTGTGACATACCGTCTGGAAAAAAAATCACAGATAGAAGCCGGCGCCTCCTTCACAGATAGAGAAACTGAGTCCCGAGTGCGGAGGCCACACGGCAGAGGCCGCTCGGCCCGCCGGGGGCTGGATCTCACTCCCGTCCTCCCTCGGGGGCCCTCTGGGCCCGGCCTCCCCCGGCTGGCCCTGCCCTCTGGCCGGCCGGACAGGGGCAAATGGCTTTTTCCACGGATTGCACCCTCATCCCAACTGGGCCCAAAGGACGCCGGTGATGGTCAGCAACAGGTTTCTCATTTCAAAGTCCTGCCCGGCCATTCCTCCGAAGAGCAGAGTTGGGGCTCGTTACCCTCTCTGCCCAGCCTCCCTCCCTTTGAAGTCTCGGACATCTGGTTTCCATTGCAGTGTAACGGGCAGTTACCGCGGAACGCCCAGTACAAACACTGCGGACAGGGAGGCCGGCTGCCGTTTCCTCGCCGTCAGCCGCACGCCCTGCCCTCTGGCCTCGCCAGCCCCCGTGCGCCTGCACTGAGCGCCATCTCCACCCAACAGTTTCCCATCCTGCTACCTCACATTCCCAGAAACTGCTCTCCCCGGGCACGTGGCTCTCTGACTGGTCACATGTCCATCCCGTGGGTGCAACTCATCCTTGGTTCATGTCTCCCCCCACACACACACTCCCCACCAAAAAAAAAAAATTAATAAAATAAAATAAATAAATAAAAGGATCCCAGGGAGAAAAATGGGCAGGGCTGAGACCCTGCGAATAAGCAATGTGAGGGGGCTGCTTCACCTGTTCGTCCGTGTGTGTGTGTGTGTGTGTGTGTGTGTGTGTTTCAAATGGTTCCTTCTTGCCTTGCTACCTGGCGTTGGCTGTACAATTGAGTTTGAGATTCCATGACACAGTGACAAATCCGAATGTACAAATTAGGAAGCTTCGAGGTTATTTGCTGAGCGAGAGGCAGACACGGCAGAGGGAAGTCTGAAAGGTTAGGAGCGTGGTACTTAATAGCAGAAAGATGGGAAATCGACCGTAAAAAAGCGACTCCTCGTATTTAGTGAGTTCCTTCAGCTCCTGGCTTTGTTCAGGGGTGTCCTGAAGACGCCTAATCACACACAATGGCGCCGAGGAACAGGTATAGAAACAGGAGGAACCACGCCTGGGTGGATTCGGGGCGTCTCGTGCGAACACAGCTCTGGGACGAAGGCCCAGCCCCACGGCCCATGCATTTGAACACCAGTTACCAGCACGCCTTTTTGCCCCACCAAGGGCCTGACTTACTGTTTAATTCATTTCACAAATGGTTGCCGAATGAATGACTTGGGGTGAGCAAATAAACAAATGAATGGACCAGTGAATGAATCACCAAGTCAGAACAGACTGCCTGCGGGCAGGTTGGGCCCAGCCCGGTTTTGTTGCATTCTAGTTATTGTAATATTTTGAATGAGTTGCCAACATGGATAAGTCTGGAAGTTTTCCATGGGGATTTTTGGATTTGTGGGGGACAAAGGGTTTGCAAGATCTGGCCACCTCCCCACTCTTCCTCACCCCCATCCCTCGGGTCTCATCCGCTGGAGCCAGTCCTGGTAGCCCCTTCAGTCAGGCAGGCAAGTCCCCTCCGCCACCTTCGGTCCCATTCTTGACTCTTCCCCCACCCCAGCCTGCCTTGCAGGAGCGATCTGCATTTTGGAAGCTTTTGACTCTGCCACGCCTTGTTATTTATTCCATGGGATCCTGAAGGGGGCCTGACAAAGACGCCCCGTCACACCCAGTGGCGCCAGGGAAGCGGTCTGGCTCCTAAAGGCACAGCCCCAAATGATTCCCACCCAGAGGAGTCACTCCCACCAGCGGCCTGCGGCCCTTTGCATCCGCAGCCCTTCCCATTGCTTTTGTGCGAACGGGAACAGCCGCCCAGGCCCCGGCTTTGCTTACGGCTTTGGTGATTGTGCTGGCCAGGTGGGGTGAGCTTTGGGTCCAAAAGTTCTGTATTCACACAAAAGCAGGGGTGAGGCGGGAAGGCGTGTCGGCTGCCACCCAAGGGGAGGGGCACGGGTAGGCCCTAGATTTCCTCTGAAGTTCATGTCGTTTAGCAGTAAGTTTAGCACGCATTCTGGTTTCGATGAGCAATCGTGCATTTTGTGTGTTTGCTCACCCCCATTTCTGTCTTTAACGGACCACCCAGTGCATGGTCCTGTCACGCGTGGCCTCCATGCTGGCCGCAGTGCCTCTGCTGGGCAGTACGGAGCAGGGGCTTGTATCGGGGCCTCTGTCTGGGCTGTTTCTGCAGCCTGAGCCCATTTTCGTCCAGCTCGGACAACGCTCCGACATCATTGCCCGCACACAGGGGTGACCTCAGGGAGCATGTGTCCAGCTTTTCTCTTTCTCTGATGGCCCACAGGCAGACAGGAAACCTAGTTTGGGACATCTTCCTCCCACTGCGTTTCAATGCGCGCTGCTGTATGCAGCATTCACACCCTTCCTTTGTCCTCATGCAGATGCAAAGCCCACCGTGGAGACACTGGGACCCACCGTGAGGGGCGAAGAGACCACCACCCCATATCCCATTGACGAGGAGGCCACGGAGTGCGGGGAGAACTGCAGCTTTGAGGACGGTGAGGGTCAGGGTCCGAGTTGCATTCATCCTGGATGGCATGGGTGCCGACCAGTGGGGATGGAGGCAGACCTGCGGCTGGGCAGGGACCTGGGGTCGCTGGGTCAGAGGTCAGGGAGAAGCGGGTATGCAGGGGCTTGGAGTAGCGGCCATTTCCAACCATTCAGTAGGGAATGAACACACTTATCATCAGCTGCGATAAGGGTCCGTTTTAAAAATTATTATTATTTTTAATTGATTTCAGAGAGGAAGGGAGGGAGAGACAGAGGGAGAGAGAGAGATCAATGATGAGAGAGAATCATTGATCAGCTGCCTCCTACAAGCCCCACCCTGGGGATCAAGCAGGCCACCTGGGCATGTGCCCTGACTGTGACCTCCTGGTTCATAGGTCAACGCTCAACCACTGAGCCATCACAGACAGGCAGGAGGGTCTATTTAGAGAAGACTCCTAATCTGAGAAGTCTTCTTCTCTAGCCCTCACGTCACGTGGTTAGAATCCACATCTGTGATCCTTTCTCCTGCTAAGCTGTGTCTTTACCATACAGTCAGGTGGAAACCTGGAGTTGACATGTTTCAGGAAGCCCAATAGTCATGGTTAACTCGGCCGTTAACCTTCCTTAATAGTATTTCCCTGTCTCTCACCGCCACCGATTGAGGAAGTATCATCGTCTTATGACCCCCTGGGATGGCTCGTTCTCCGTGGGGCGAGTGCAGGCCAGTGGCCCCTCCTCGGCATGTGGGAAATCTGGGCTCCTCTCCTCCCGCCTCCTACACGTACCCGTGTTCCATGGAAACAGTTGGCAGAGACCAAACGTGCTACAGGTTTTAAATCACACCGCTCAGGAGCGGAGGAGTCTGAGGACATTCCTAGCAAACCACAAATTCTGGGAACACCTGGCATTTTTGGCTAGAAGTTCATGCCTGACAGCCTCCACTTACAGTCAATTACTGACCATTATTAAATGTTCATTAAACAACATGAGGGGAAATGGAAGAGACCTGGGGAGTGAGGGAGACATAGAGACGCGTCGCCGACGTCGTGGGCGGACGGTGGAGTCTGCAGGACCCGCACACTCAGCAGCCTGACCATCGGAGGGACTGGGCTGACTGAGTGGCCAACTCAAAAAAAAAAAAAAAAAAAAAGGCTGCGGAGAAGAATGGGAGGGAAGCCAACCATAAATGCTGAAGCTGTGTGACTGAAAAATGATAATTTAATGCATATGCTTCTAGGAATGTGCTTGAGATGGTGTGGGTGGAGGGACACTATTGGTCAGGGGGAGTGGAATACAGAACGTTGACATGGTATTGAACTTGGTTTTGTTTCATCAGGAGGAGAAGGAGACTTGGGGAATCTTCCACGACATGTTTAAGATCGTTTGAAAGCATGGGGAGTAGATAGATGGTGTCGGGTTAGCAGGGTTGGCTGGACGGAGGGCGGGGGGGGGGGGGGGGGGGCGGGGTTTTCTATCTAAATGGCAGCCCCAAGGAAAATGGAAGGGTTCTGCAAAATGTTCAGAAGTTTCGTATAATTTTCCCGTTTGTAGTGGTTCGTTTCCTTTGAGGTTTCTTTGGTGGTTCCTCCCTTCCCTCTTCTTTTTCTTTGCAAACGATCCCTTTGTGGAATTTGGTTCCTGAGGTCCAGCGTTCGTGTAAACATGAGAGGGGAATTACGGTATATTGAATTACTCCATATTTTTCGAACGGAAAAATAGAAATTCAGAAACGGCCGGGAGAAGGGGATGGTGAGGGCTGAGAGCGGACTTTTCCAAGCCACAGGTTGATGCTGTAATGGATTCCATGTGTTCTGTCTCCACTCGGGCTGACTTTGGCCCACGGTGGGCAAACATTCCACGGCCCCTCTCGGGAAGGAGAGACGTGAGCAGGACCCGGCGGCATGCGGTGGCCTCTGCACCGAGGCCAGCCCTGCCCTCGCCCTCAGCGGCGCCCTCCTCACCTCCACAGTGGGAGCGACCTGCTTCCAGTCTGGTGCTCCCTGCAGACCTCCTAACCCAGGTCTGAGGCCTTCCCCCAGACATGCCTCCCTGGGAGCCCTGAGAACGGAAGTGAGAAGGCCAGAGACCCCGCTTCCTCTCTGCTGCCAGCACTGGCCAACCCCTTCCTGCCGTCTGCACAGGCCCGTCTGGCGAGCAGGAGCGCCCAGACTTGTTCCATTTCCTCTTCCCTCCCACCTCCGCCCACCCCCCACTCCATCACCCATTCAGCACCAGCTCAGTCTGGGTTTTCAGAGCCAAGTGGACCCTCAAAAGACACCTTGGGTTCAGACTTCTAGCTCAGGTTCGAGAACAAGTGAGCAGCCCAGGCAAGCCACAGGGGCCACTCCTGAGACTCCCCTGAGGACGCACCCTCTGCTGACCTTGGACCCGGCCTTCCTGCGCCATTGCTTTTCCTCCCGGTCAGCGCTGAGCGGGGCAGCCAGGCCTGGCCGGCTGGGCTGGTTCCCTCCCTTTGCCCTCACATGCCCGCCTGGCAGTGCCTCCCCCGGGGATGGTGAAATGGCCCGGTCTTCCGAAACAAGAGACCTACCGCAGGGGGTGAAGGGGAGCAAACAAGCCTGCCTTGTTTCGGGGCCCACTTTCCCCTCGCTGGCCTGCATTCCCGCCTCTTTGGATGCCAACAGGGCTGCCCATCTCTCCCGAGAGCCAGGTGGGCAGGAGCCAACCTTCCACCGAGGCACTGGGGAGCGGCGATTTTCACGTTGGCCTGCTCTCCGAGGTGGACGGAGGGGCCAGGGAGAGCCCCCAGCCCCTCGGTGGCCTCCTTTGTGACCGCTCGCTATGGGAACCACGGGCAGACTTGGCTTTCATGCCTGGGAAGGATGAGACCAAACGCTGACCCGAAAGCCAGCAGCCGCCAAGAGGAGTTCCGTGAATGAGCGACAGGGAGCCTCCTTTCTCTGCTCGGCACTCAGGCCTTGCCAGCCATTGACATAGCACCAGGGTGGCTGTTCTCTGAACCCATCTCGCTGGCGTTCCTTTGGCTTATTTATTTTTTTTTTTTCACTCTCCTTTTAGACAAAGATTTGCAGCTCCCCTCAGGATTCAACTGCAACTTCGACTTCCCCGAGGAGGCCTGCGGCTGGATGTACGACCACGCCAAGTGGCTGCGGAGCACCTGGGCCAGCAGCACCAGCCCCGACGACCGCACGTTCCCTGGTAAGCCGGCCGCGGTCCGGAGATGAGCACCTTCCCCAGCTCCCCCGCAGGTGTCCTCCCTTCCCAGCACGGAGCCCCCTCTGCCCTCTGCCCGCAAACGCCACCGTCTTCGCTCACGACCAGCGGGCTGGTGGCTCCTGCCCTCGCCTGTGATTACCAGACGGCCTGGGAGCCGGGCGGGAGGGAGAGGGGCCAAGATAAAAGCAGAGGAAGGAAGGAAGGAAGGAAGGAAGGAAGGAAGGAAGGAAGGAAGGAAGGAAGGAAGGAAGGAAGGAAGGAAGGAAGGGCCGTGGGGAGGCCTAGGAGATGCCATGAGTCAATGTCCCCTTGTTCCCGTGGCTGGTCCTCACTGCCAGCATCACAGGGCCTCTTGTCCGCTTCCGGCTGGGTACTGTTCCTAGAGTGGCCATCAGGGAGCCCCGGGCCTTGAGTGGCCTTACCTTCTCCCAGGGTGGCATGGCCTCTGTAGCGAGCCACGTCGAGGGCCTGAACGCTGCCATGCCCAAGAGTGTCTAGCAGAGCCGCCTGGCACTGTCCTTCAGAGTCAGAGTCCAGGAGCCTGTGGCCCCTGGAGGTGAGGACTTGCCTGGGTCCTTCGAACCGATAGAAGCAGGCCACCCACCGTGTCGCAGCGGCACATGGTCACAGGGATGTCCTGGCAGGTGTTTGGCAGCAGCTCTCCGAGGACAAGGAGCCCTGCTCTGCGCCGAGGGCCGCCGTCCAGGCTGCAGATGCGCCTGCTGTGGTTGAACTCGAGCCACCCGCGTCCATGGAGGTGGGGGAAGTGGAAGTGCAGCGATCCCGCACCCCGCAGTCCCCCCCTCAGGCAGAGGCCATTCCCGCAAATAACTTGGGGAACAGAGGTACCCGTAAAGGGTATTCAAATAATTAGGAAGCGTTGAGTTTCAAAGAACATATTATCTTGAGTTGGTAGTATGGTTTATGTCCTTGTAAGTTTCTATCATTTAGTTTTTAATAGTGCTTGCGTTTAACAACTGGGCTTGCAACATCCCAGGTAATTTAACAATAGGTCATCACAAACACCGGCTCCGGCGCTCCAGGCATTGGCTTCCAAAGTCCCATGCCCCTGGCCTGGGTTCTAGGCCCTCCCCCCCCACCCCACCCCCGGGAGCATTCAAGAGGAAAGGGGTTCACTCTGGGAATGAGCAGATTCAGTGTTGCCTGACTGGAGAATACAGGGGTGAGGGGCCGCCCCTTCGGCAGGGTCCCCCTGCGCTGCCCCCTGCCCCTCACGGCAGGACTGGCAGTGTCCCCTGTCCCCAGGGGAGGCAGTAGGACTGACACGGCCTGCACTTGCTTTCCCAGAGGGTCACAGCGTCTGCTCTGGAGAAAAACATTTTCATATTTCAAGTGTTTATCTCTTCAGCGTTCGAGTGCTCAGAGAGATTAATATCTGAGGCTCGGCGCAGCCGCGGGCAATGGGAGAGAGCACTTACCCCGGCCCAGCCTTAATCACCCTCCCTCCTCTCCTTCACTGCAATAATGTTTAATTAATATAATGAGCCTCCTGCACGCTGGGAAAAAAAAATACTTATTTTTATAACCCAGCCTGGATTTTTCACTTTATTTCCTCCCCTTTGAGACTTGGCCCAATTAATTGATTGTTCTCCCAACCCCCACTTTTTATCTTAAAGATTTGTAGGGTATGTGTCTCGTGTGTGTGTGTGTGTGTGTGTGTGTATGCCTCCTGTTTACATGTGTGTATTTGTGGGTACATGTGTGTATGTATGTTTCTTTCTCAAGGTGTGTGTTGTGTGTGTACATGCATATATCATGTGTTTTTATGTGTTAGATGTAGATAGATGGATAAATATGTATATGCCTGTGCGTGGGTTTTGTGCATGAATCTCTGTGCGTGTGTGTGTATGGATTTATGTGTGTGTTTGTAGTTTATATTGCACGCATGCATGTGTAAGAGGGAAGCTTGGCAGAGGCAGTTTGAATAAAGGGATGTGGATGATAAGGCATGGAGACCTTTCCTGGCTCTTACCCAGCATTCATCCTCGGGTCCTGTCTAATAATTCAGCCTCTTCCCTTGCACTCTTCTGAGCAGATGTTCTCTAAGAATGTCTGAGGCCTGCCCAGGCCAGGCCGCAAGGCCACCAATTAGCAAGGGACACTTCAGTGACTCTCCCTTTGACCCTGGCTTTTACCCCTGGCCTTCATTCCCATTGCTTGCTCACCTCCGCCTCCCCCTCACCCAGCCCTCGCCCACATCTGAGTGCCCCGTCCCCGACCCTGGCTACTGGTTGGAAATTCTGGTCCTTATCCTCATTCGGCTGATTCACTGCAGCCTGTGGTTGGTAGGGTTCTTCGGAGCAAGCTCACAAAGCAGGCGGAATTCCAACCTGTGGCTGGCTGGATCTGGACAGAAGGAAAATTAGGGCCATCGGGAACTGCTCGATCTAGTGGTGTTTTTCCCCTAAGATGCTGAGAAAGAAAATAATCATTTTCCTCCTCCAGAGGGATCCCTGAAGTTTGGGAAAGTGGCACTTGTAACTTGCCTCCAGAAGACAGAATCATAACATTGTCTTCGGAGCCCTTCCCTCTCCCCTCCGATGACTTACAAAAGCCTGTGCTGTGTTTCCCATGCTCCTTCTCCTGACAGAACTGGATGGCAGGCTTTAAGGAGGAGAGGAGAGAAAGCCCTTTCTGTTCAGGGTGGTCCTTTCTTTCTTCTTCTTCTTCTTCAAAAAAAAAAAAAACGGGCCCCCGAGGGGAGCAGTTGGGAGAGAGGAAACAGCTGTGCTTGGTTAGGGGCAGGGTAAATGCTAATGGGATCGGAGTGGCCGGACCTTCCCAGTCAGACCTGAGAGTTGCTATGTCCCCCACAGGTCAGCATTGCACAGAGAGGAGCCCACCTTCGCGCTTCAGAGAAGTGCGCCATATGTTTCATCCCCTCGTTTGATGGGTAAACACGAGCAATTACATGTAAGAAAGGAGGTGTCTCGGTTGAGCAGGGAGAAAAAAAGAAGGCAGGGAAGAAAATAGCCATGTTGAAATAGCACACACAGGCCATTTGGTTAGAAGTGTCTGTGGAAAAGACTTAAATTCCGTAGATACTTTCTGATTTAGTTCTTTTCTCGTGTTTTGTTTTGTTTTGTTCCTGTTTTGTTTTTTCTTTTCCTTTTAAGTAAGCAATTAGTTCTGTTCTTTTGGCCAGCGCTGGTGGTTGCTTAAGGCTGACAGGACACCCACTGGTTCCATTCCACTGTTTTTGTTTTGCAAGATAGTCTTTCATGCCGCTTGGAATGTCTTTTTTTAGCTCTTTGCTTGTGCTCAGAAGCCCGGGGTGTGTTCACACCCGGCCCCGGGAAGCCTGTCCCTGGGGACCCTGTTCCTAATTCGCTGACCCCTGCTGGTTACAGAGGAGCCCGCCCCGTGCTCTCCCGAAGCCACTCTGCCTTTTCTCTGCAGCGACAGAACACAGAAAGTGGCTCCTAGTGGGAGCTTTGAGGAAGATCAGATTTAGATCTCTAAAGAACAAGGCCAAGAAGTCCTCGAGATGGCCCTTGGTCAATTAATTGGGCAGCCACTAGCCACGTGTGGCTATTTTAATTCAATTAAAATTAAATACAGCCAAAACTTGGGTTCTTTTTTCACCCAGCCACGCCTGGGACAGTGCGGGTATAGGGCATGCTCATTGTCCGTTGCCCTGGCGACCACTGCTCCAGTGCCACCAGGCCTTGGCCTGAGGGTGACCTCTGGGGCCCTTCCTGCTGTGGGGCTGCTCCTTGGTTTGGAGCAAAGCAAGAAGCAAGTGATTAGAGGAACGTTCTGTCCATACTATCCCTTGATGGGAGTGGTCCAAGGCTGGTATTTGGCTCCTGGTTTTGTTTCATCTCAGCGTGCAACCTTAATAAAGTGAGCAAGTCACATAGCATTGGATAGGATAGGTTTCATTCCACCAAAAGGGGCATCCTAAGTAAATACTAAGCGATCCCAGTAATAGTGAGAATACTAATTGTTTTTGTTGTTACAATTGTTGTTGTCAGGGAGACAGAAAAAAAAAACCTGAGACACAGGTACTTATGCCAGGTGAGCTTCAGGACCCTCAGGTGTGTGTGGTCTCCCTCAGGCGCGTGGTCTCCCTCAGGTGCGTGTGCTCGTGTACACACCTGTTGACCTCATGAAGGGTGGGTACAGTGTGACTTCATTTTAGTAAGTTCACATCATGGGTGTGAAATAAAGAAGACGGGCAAAGCCTACACGGAGTAGTCTACAGTTAGGGAAGGACAGCTTTGGCGCCTTGCATTCGTGTTTATTGGACTGAGAGAACAGAACCTTCCCTTTGGGCTCAAAAACCGTCTTCAGTGGGAGCGCAATGAGGAGACAATGTTCAGCGATGTTTGTGTTTTCCACCCGGTGGCTGTCCCACCCAGTGTGCGTGGCAGACATGGGCTGTTGGGTGCAGGCTGGGCCATTGAGTGAACTCCATTAGAATGGGGGACCACAACTTTGGGGCACCCATGAGGAGATTAAGAGCGATGATGGGATGGTGGGCGATGGTGGCAGAGAAATCAAAGGAAGTAACATGGGTGAACGTGCTTGGGATGGGCTTGATTTTTGTCAGAAAACTACTGGTGACTACATGAATTCAAAAGCATTTCTCTGAGCTCAGAAGACCTCCCCCATAGATGGGGCCACCGGCAGCAGACACGGGGTTGGCTTTAGCGGGACTTGCCCTGAGAAAGAGGCCGCTGTGGCTTGGCTGGGGCTTTGCAGCCACTGCAGATACTGAGACAGGAACTTCTCGGGCTTCATTCATGACAGATAATTAAAGACCAGGAACAGCTTGGCGAAAAGAAAGCCAATATCCAAGCAATAACTTCCAAGTGGAAAAAGAAGCATAGAGGTCCTTCATTAAGGCGGTGGGAACACTTCTTTGGCTTTGTGGGAAACACAGCAGCAGAGAAGAGAAGCAATTGCTCCTTTTTATTTTTTATTTTTTTAAGGCATCATTGCTTGAGTCCCCAGCA